AGGAGAGGAGAGAGAGAGAGAGAGAGGGGGGGGGAAGAGAGATGTCTATGGTTATGGGGGTGGTGTCTCGTCGCTCTGAGAATGTTGTTGGGTTCGATCCGGAAATGGAAAATGAGGAGGTCTCAGAGCAGAACGGCGAAGCAGGGCCTTCAGAGAAGCTTTCTCTCTCTAGGAAGTTTAGCCAGGCCTCTGTTTGCTCAACTGAAGGTGGGGATGATGATGATGATGATGATGATGATGGGGATGACGATGACGATGATGCGTCCGGCCGATCCAAGTCTGCAAAAGACCTTACCCTTGGCCCCCAATTCACCCTCAAAGAACAAATGGAGAAGGATAAAGTAACATAATCCTTCTATGCTCCCCATTTCTTTTGTTATTAGTGTTGGATTTTATTTTCTGATGATTATTTGGTTTCTCTTGATAATGTATTGTGGTTTTTCTTTCCTAATGGGTGTGATTTTGACTTTTTTTTTTGGTTTTGTGAAAATGTGTGGTGAATGTGATTATAGGAAGATGAGAGTTTGAGGAGATGGAAGGAGCAGCTTCTTGGGAGTGTGGATTTATCTGCTGTGGGAGGTATGAATTCATTCTGCAAGTAAAAGTTTGAGGCATGTTTTATACTTTTAGAGTGAGAACGTGGTCTGCTTTTCCTTTTTCTTTGGAATAAAGGAAAAAGAAACCATGGGTTCGAGGATTTTGAGTATTCCCCATGCTTTTCTCTCTGGATAACAATGGTGACAATTTTGAGGCTTATGTCGAATTTACCGGTTGAGAGAGAGCTGTCTGAGTCTTCTTTATTGGGAAATACATGCATTTTTTTCCTTTTTATTGTGAGAGAGAGGTCTTAAAATTGTCCAGTTTTTCATAGCTGGGGTTTGTTTCTTAAAACTGGCCTTTTTCTAAAAGACAAATAGATGGGGCTGAGTCTCCTTCATGTGGAATATCATGCATGAGTTTTTTTTGGTAAAGTCATTTTTTCCTTCTCTTTTTTTTGGGTTGTTCTTTCTAAGTTTTGAAAGAGAGAGATTGAGGTTGTCTTTCCCAATTGTCAAATTTCAGATATGGATTTTGTTGCTTAGAACTAATTTTCTTGCATCTCTTAAAAATTTATCAGAAAATCTAGAGCCGGAAGTGAATATCCTGAGCCTCACGATCCTCTCGCCTGGTCGCCCTGACGTTCTTCTTCCCATCCCCTTTGTTCCGAATGCAAAAGGCTACGCCTTTGGTCTCAAGGATGGCAGCAAATACAGGCTCAAATTCACATTCCAGGTCTCTAACAATATCGTGTCTGGCCTCAAGTATACCAACACTGTATGGAAGACTGGTGTACGAGGTATGTTTCGATCTTCTCCTCCATTCCTTTCTGTCCGGTTCTTGAATGGATTATTGTTCTCTTTCATTAATCATCCCCTGTTTCATTTGAGATCCAATCCTGTAATTTACTTCGAAATTTCCATCAAAGATCTCATCCTCAACAGAGTCATCTTCCATGAGAAGCTTTCAATTTTTGGAAAATCAGCGGTAATCGGGTTGTTTGTTATGTAGACGAGATGTTTACATTTTTGCATCTCTCTACCTTTTATGAATGTAATCAAAACTATTCATTTGTTAGTTTTCAAGTAAAACCAATACAAGCCATTAAACTTATTGATTTTATCTAAAATTAAAGACCAAAATCATTAAATTTGTTGGCTTCAAGGAAACCGCTTCTTGTTTCACTTGCAAAGGTAATTTGGTGGCCCAGCAATGCAAGAGCTATTTGTCTCACAAATCTATTTTCTATGGCAAATACTCTGCAGTTGAGAACACAAGAGTAATGTTGGGGACGTTCAGTCCTCAGCCTGAGCCTTACAGTTCAGAATTGGAGGAAGACACCACGCCCTCTGGGATCTTCGCCAGAGGTTCTTATTCTGCAAGATCAAAGGTATATCGCTTCAACTTCGTTTTGTTTTTTTCTCATTTTTTGCTATGCAAGCCGCCATTTACAAACATCCTCACTACAAGTATCTCTTTATCTCTCTACATACATTATGACCTCACTAAGTGTGCTCTATCTGGCTTATAGCGCCACTTGGTAAATATACATCAACAGGCATTATCTCCTCTACTCTAAATCTCTTATTTTGATAGAAATTTTTTAATTTCTAGAAGCGAGGATGTATAGAAGAAAGGTTTTTGAATTCATATGGTGTCTCTTTCTGTTTCAGTTTGTGGACGATGATGGCAAGTGCTATCTGGACCTGAGTTACAGTTTCGAGATTCGAAAGGATTGGCCATCTTCTTGAAAGAAGGAACCACCATGTTCCCATCCAACACATTTACTTTAATTCTAACCAGTTGGGCTTGTTGGAAAATTTCACCAAGAAACTCAAAATATTTTTTCTTTTTGTTTTGTTGGTTCTAAGAGGCTTCTCTTCTTTGTGTGAGGAGATGATCATGTACCCTGTAATCTTGATTCCTGATAAATCACATCTCCCATTTCATATGTTTCCCATTTTCTGGTCTCCATATGCCCAGAGGAGCACTAAAGTTCTTCTGGACACTTGCTTTTAATCTCTGGTTGCTCTTCATTTGTTCTTTATGGGAATCTCTGCTCTGATCTTTCCATGTTTTGAAAGCTAACATAGGTTAGCACACAGAATTAAGCCATTGATTTTAGCTGAAGGTGCAGGCACTGTTTACAGTACTGCAAGGGGAAGGATGATGTTGCAATTAATGGCCCTTGCCCACAAGGGCTACATGGTGGCAGAAGTATTTATTGTGTAATTTATTACTGTTTTGCAGTTGTAAAACTTACTACAGAAAATTAGAAACCATAGAACATGGGAAGTACGAGTTGGTTTAAGTGGAAGGTTAAAAAAGGATAAGAGATAGGGTGAAAAGGACATAGTTAGAAATAGCGAGAAAAAAAATGGGGATTTATAATGAAGATATGGTCATTGATAGAGCAGAATAGAGGGATCAGGATTTATATAGCCGATCCCAAAAGCGATGATGAATCTCTAAAATTGAATATTGAGGGAGGACAAATGGGAATAGATGAGTCAGCAGACTCAAAAAAACCAGAACCGTGATGTTCAATTAAACTGCATAATTGTACTATAGTACCTTTTTATGTCTTTTTTAATGGAAAGAGCTTATCTAGGTTACTGGTAATACAATACATATTTATGAAATTTAAAGTTCCAATACATTTTGAAAATAGACAATCTAGATAATATGTTATAGGGTACACTATTTTTAAGACATCAAATCTTTTTTTTTTTCAAAATCCATACATCTCGAGATTGATAGAGTATTAGTCGAATCCCCTTCTTTGGAATCCATATTTCTTTGTTCTCCCATTGATCCGCCCTCTCTTCAAGCTCTCAGCCTTTCCAAGTTATTATTATTATTTTCTAGAAAATTAGTCATCCCATTTTTCAGAAAAGTGCTTTACTAATTTTTATTAGTTCGTTAGAAAGAATTAGCTGAATAAGTAAATTTGGAACTATGTACAAAATTTGTGATATTACGGAGTAAATTTGTCAATCTTTTTATAGTAATCGTTAGTTAGAACAGGATAAGTGAAATCTCCTACTATTTGCTATTTTTTGACATTTATTAGTAAATAGATAAATTTGTCAATGATTTTATATAAATCAGTTATTCAAAAAATATAATAAATCAGTAAATATACTAATATTTACTAATTCCTTATGTTTAACAGTAAAGTTAACTTGTTAATATTTTGATATTTATTAGTTAATAATGGAAAATGTAATGAATTTAATGTTACTAATTTTTTGATATATATCAATAAATTAGTAAATTTGTCACTTTTTTATATTTATCTGTTAATCAGAAAAAATTTGATAAGTTAATAAAGCAATTGATATATACTGATTTTCTGATATTTATTGGCAAACAAATTTGCCAAGTTTTTAACATTTAATTTTAAATTATCATTGTTTTACATTTATCAGTTAATAAAAACAATAAATAAGTAAATATGTTGACTTTGATTTTTAGCATTTATCAATAATTATGTAAATTCTCCACTTATTTATATTGATCAATTAATAAAAACCATTATATCAGGAATAAGTATGTAGACATTTACCAGTAAATAGTAAATTTGTCTTATGTGCAAATAAATTTTGGCACATATTTCTAAGTTAGCAAACAGGGGAAATTGCCAATAGTACACATTCCTTGTTTTTCTAACAAGTTAGTAAACAGAGGGTCTGAAAGGACTTTATGATAAAGCACGATGTATATATATTTAAAAAATTCTTTACATATACACAGGCAAGATCACTTACAATGTTAAATTATAATCAAACCACTCTTGAAATAAATAAAATAAAAATAAAATCGGTTCTCAATTGCTACCTCTTCAAATAGAATTCTTTATTCAAAAAATAAAACTAGAATTTATTGCTTTATGGGAAGAGAAGTAAATATTTAAAAAAGGTAAAATTGCCAGAGATTATTTCGATCGGGCTTCATACACCTCAAGCCGAGTCTCTTCATTGCGATGGTGCTCAGGATCTATGATCGGTATGTTGATTTCCCTACTAGGGCAAAAATCCACTCAATAACTTAATCTTCATTTGATTTTAGAGAGATGAGAGATGAATATGAAAAAAGAGAGGAAAAGATCTACTAGCAAGGTCTGAGAGATGAATATGAAAAAAGAGAGGGAGAGATCTACTAGCAAGGGATGAGAGATGAATATGAAAAAAGAGAGGGATGAGAGATGAATATGAAAAAAAAGAGGGATGAGAGATGAATATGAAAAAGAGAGGGAGAGATCTACTAACAAGGGATTCCACCCCTTTGCCACCCATAAAAAATTAGCAAGGGGTGGGGCATGCCTACCAAAATATACTGCGACTTAGAGAGATAAAATTATAGTGTAACTTAGATAGAGATAAAATTGGGGCATGCCTCCCCTTTGGAAGAAAGGGGAATTTTGGGTAGGGAGGGAGAATTGGTAAAGAGAGAAAAGATAATACGTATCTTATTTTATGAGGGGATATCTCTTTTTATAGATTTTTTATGCCATAGATTTTGCCTCAGGTCAAATCTCAACCGTCGATATAAAGAGACTTGTAGGGTGAGAGATTTGAACCATCAATCTCTTTGATCCGTCATCAAGATTCAAAGAAATGAGCTAGAGTATTATCCTCCATTTACTAAATCTAATCCCATCAAATAAGAAAAACTTATATTTTAATATATCAAATCCTCATTTATTTGATCAATCAATCTTGATTCAAAGAATTAGTAAATATCTCAAATATTCAACCTTATCATATAAGTTAGCTGTACCTAAAAAAATAAGCCAATAAAGAGGATAAACATTCTTCCCAAGAATTTTACGTGGGTGGGTGGAGGTGTGCCACCCTTTTGGTGGTCAAGTGTGGGCCCCACCTAATCTACATCTTTTTAAATTTTGGCCCCATATTTTATGGAGGTCCCAAATATTTTAGAAAATATTTTATTTCATATTTAATTTAATTTAATTAATTTTTTTAAAATCTTATATTTTATTTAAAATATTGAAAAATTAATTTCTTAATTTATAAATTCAAATGATAAAAATAAAATATCATAAGATTTACAAAAATTCAAATAAACATTATAAAAATCACATAACATAAAATTAATTAAAATTAATTAATTTTAATGGGAATTAGATCCATTAGATCTTGGAAATTATTAATACATGGGAGCACTCCACCTTCAACTGTGAATCACGATCCGCCTAGCTTTTTCAAACTGACCCAATAGTTCCTATGACCCACAATCTACTGCAGGGGTTCATGATTGGACCACCAAAGTCAGCCAATATATTAGGGGACACAATCCCAATTTATGAATTTCAAGTTCTCCCCTAGAGACAAAAATCATGGTCCTCCAAACCATGATGCAACCATGACTCTATGGTGCGTAATCTATTGCACATGTATACGCTTCACCTTCATTGGTGAATCTCAAAACGACTATCTATGTATATGTTGTGTGATGATATAACGATGAGGTTTTAGTCCTGTCTCTAAAGGCTATTCATCACACGCAAGGGCCACACAGTCCCTTAGCTCTCATCTGGGCATACATCGACCTCATCAAGGGATAACCCATTAAACCCTTCTCGGTAGATCCCTATGCCCAGGTATCTTGGATTTTTTCAAACCTCGGCTAGCCTCGCTCGTCGAGCTTAGTCCGAGTATCAGCAAATAACATTTGCCTAGTATAGTCCACAAAAGGACCACACTCCACTGAGTTTATGTTCCACTACATAAAATGCTCATACAAGCTCTCATAAGGCCTTTAAAGGCCACATAAACCCAACATCTCCCACTTGACCTTTGAAGACCTTACATTCTCTTTTCGTCACTTTCTCTCATCCCCATCTGTCTCTCCTAATAACAATATCTCTCAATACAATAATTATGGCTTTCGCCATCAATTATTTCACAAAAGGACTCATAAAGGCAACGCCTCTTTCTCTTTGCTACTCGGATCTCATCCCGAAAGTGTTCGTAGTCCATATTTCATATCGCATCGCGAATCATGGACTTGCTATCACAGAAAATCATCATGTATCCTTATCGCATAGGATCGTATCTTCATTAGCTTAAAGGAGTTCTTCAAACAAGCCGCTTCTTTATATAGCCATACAACCAGCGCCACACATCTGGGTTCCATGGGTGAACAACACCATAGTCTGTTGCTCCAGCTGACTTGTTAAACACTAGGTGCTCCCACTGGAATATTTAGTTTTATACGCTTGGAGTTATTATGGAATTGTGACTCCATTTTACATGCATATCGCCACTGTATTGTCGTAAAAAATCCTCACTGCCTCACAATGCACGGATTGAAAGTCAAGTCGATTCCTCCTTGGCCGCCAAATAGCACGCCACATATTCTGCCTCTAGGATGGACAATGCCACCGCATCCTGTTTATTTGATTTTCAAGAAGTTGTTCTCCCTCGAAGCGTGAACACGTATCTAGAAGTAGACTTCATATCATCTGAATCCTTGAGATAGCTTGCATCTGTATATCTGAATATCCAAGTAGCTAAAAAAAAAACGTGGGACTATAGCAGCTCCCACTCAATTATTACACATATAATATGTACATTCTCAACGTTCTTATATCTATATCATGAGATAGCATAGTAAGTCTCATGTAATAAGTAATTCAATGCCTATTAGTTTCTCAATATGTAAAACCTTTAGAAACCACAAAGCTTCAATCATATTAGTCATCTTGGTAGTAAATCGATACAAACCAAGTTATCTAATCAATATAACATGTGTCAAGGAAGCCTAGCAAGATAGCCTTCCTACAACATTCCATATGGTTCAAGGTCTTAAGTAATCGATGATTCTAAATAACTACAAACATAAGTCAAGACATATGAGTATTTTCAAAAAAAACCCATACAAGACAGTATTTCTCTCAATTTTATAAATACCTTGAAGGCATAATGATTTTCT